GCTCTTCATCTGCAGCTGGGCTGGCTCCCCGAGCTCATGGAGGAAGACCTCTCTGGAGGGTCGCTGCAGCGACATTGAATGGCGAAAAGCAGGGAGGGAGGGGAACAAGGAGCACACGAAAGGTGGCGTGAGAAGATACCTGTGCTATATCTGCTACGCATCCGAAAGCGCGGTCTCCTGGCGCTCGCTTCTTCACCAGGTACATGGCACAGCGGACATCCAACTTTGTGATGTGCAAGAAGCCTTGCTCCGCTCCGATATCCAACCTCTTCACGAGCGACCTTGCGTCGGCCATGAGGTTGTCGGCCGCAGCCACGTCCGCCTTGCGGGGCGCGACGTGGACGATCTCGTTTGCCTTGATCCGACCATCGCTTCAGCGATTGCGTTTGGGAATAAAGCAATGTAACGGTGCGTGTGTGTGTGTGTGTGGAGGGGGGAGGGGTGGGTACGCAGTTCTAACAATGCAGCGCAATGCATAGATGCGCTGCAGCGCATGTCACTACAAGGGGGCGCCGACAAGCTTATGGATGGTCCTGCACATGCTATCCACCACGTGCTCGCCTGAATAGTTGGCCTTCACGAGCGCCGCTACGACATACGGGTACGACTCCTGGTGCTTCCCCCATTTAATCGAATTCAACTTGCGCCAAAATTCAGAGCCGCACATCAAAGTTTGCCCCGAGACGTCCACATTCGTGAAGGTCTTGAGGGCTTCATCTATTTCACGGAGAAGTTCTCCGTTTTGTGGCCCGAGCTCAACAAACTTGCACAAGTCAGCGATCCACGCCTTGCAAGGTGGGTTCGCGTGGCCCGCTTGCTCGGCGATGTCGCGCCAATCGGGCTTGCTGGAACCCTCAGCGAGGCTGTGTGCCAAGAGCATCCGCCCACCTGCCTGCAGCAAGCGCCGAGCCGATCAAGTGCTGCAGCACTGTAAGATATAATGCTCCTGCTCCTCGTTCTCACCTCCTCCCCAACGCGCTCCCACTCATCACCCTCCTCGTGCATCATCCTGGTCCTTACTACATACCGCTATATACTATAGTGGGGATAGGCTGCAGCCTGACCGAATGATCTCGGTCTCGTGAACCGCCTCCCTGACGTCGGCGTTCAAAGCCCTCTGCACGAAGTTCTTGAGGCCCTTCACTTTGGCCACCGCGTGCTTGATGATCAACCACGTCAGGCCCTTTTTGACTGCCGTCGCAAGTTGCGGATGCAACGCGCACAGCTTTTCGGAGTCGATGTTGTCCCGAGAGTCTGCCAGCGCCTTCACTGTGGTCGGCGCCTTGGCCAGCACGCAGCGGAGGAAGACGTTCGTGTGGGAGCCGCCCACTGACGTATACCGCAATGAGTCCAGCGGGGGGCACCGACCCCCGCTGAGCCGCGAAAGGCGGTCGTTCGCCATCGCGGTCTCTTCCAACTGCGCCCCCTGCGGGGCCTCGAAGGCAGTGGCTGCAGCCGTCTTGGCCAAGACGAAGCCCTGGGCGCAAATCTTCGCGCCTAAATTGTGAGCCCGCGCAGGGTTCACTAACGAACCGCTGCGGTTCCGAATGTCGATGCCCATCTGGTTCGGTGGGACCTGCTGGTAATGCGCTAGCCCCTCCGCCAGCAGGAACTCCTTCAGTTGATCCCACCCCGATGCCAACCTCCCCGAGGAATTGCTTTCCTCGGTGTACTGCAAGATCTGCTCCTCCTGACGCGCCTGCAGCGCCATGCCAGCGCAATATATAGCGCCGAATGCAACGTGCGAGCCCGCGGGCGCGACGGCGGATGCGGCGCGCGGCCGCAGCTTGAGACAAGCTGTCGCGCGGCGTGCGCGTGAACATCGACTTGCATGGACATGCAACTTGCGAGCAACAATGTTGATCTGGGCTGCAGCCCGAGGCCCATGAAGCACGAGCGCGCACGCGCTGCAGCGCGATGCGACATCACGACGACAACCTTTTTTTTTTCCGCTGCAGCGCAAAGTAACAGACGTGCTATCAAATTTGGAGCGCTGCAGCGCTCAATGCGACCATTGAAAAACAACGAATACAACAAAACATATCCCTTGCAAACGGAGCTGGGCGAACATGAAGATCCGAACAACGTGCAACTAGAAAACATGCATTTAACTCAACATTCAGCGCTGCAGCGCTTCATCTTCAGCGCACGCAGCGCTTCATGTTCATATAAATCCGAAGGCAGCGCTGCAGCGCTTCTCATATTTCAAGCAAAAATCCAGGACACCGACTCCAAATCAAACTGCAAAATTTGTAGCGTTGCAGCGCTCAACGAACAAACTCAGCTCTTTCAAGACGTGGATTTACCTTTTTTTCCCTGTGCATGGCCCTTGGATAACAAGTGCAATGTAACCGCTAAGTCACTTATAACCTACTTAGCAAACTAGCTATAAGCGGTTATAAGTGGTTAGCTAAGTGCGCTAAGCACTTAGCTAACTGGTTATAAGTGGATAGCTAAATACTTACTAAGTCATTACTAAGTGGGCCACTTAGTAATGACTGAGTAAGTACTTAGAAAGTCCGCTAACTACTTACTAAGTACTTAACTTAGCGTAGTAAGTATGTTAAGTACTTAGCAACCGCCGCGGCCATCCAAGTAGGTAGTCAAGTAGGGATGAGGAGTAGAAAGATGATGATGATGGTGATGGTGATGATGATGATGATGATAATGACGATGATGACGATGGCGATGATGATGACGGTGATGATTATGATGCTGATGATGATGATGATGGTGGTGGTGGTGATGGTGATTGATGATGTTGTTGATGATGATGATATTGATGCTGATGCTGGTGATGATGATGATGATGTTGATGATGATGTGATTATGATAATGATGGTGATGCTGATGATGATGCTGATGCTGGTAATGATGATGCTGCTGCTGATGATAATTGCGGTGGCGGTGGTGGTGGTGATGCTGATGATGATGATGATGGTGGTGGTGGTGATGATGATGATGCTTCTGCTGCTGCTGCTGCTGCTGCTGATAAACAGGAGGAGAAAGGAGAAAGGAGGAGGAGGAGGATGAGGAGGAGGAGGAGGCGAGGAGGAGGAGAAGGGGGAGGAGGAGGAGGAGGAGGAGGAGAGGGAGGTGAGGAGGGAGGAGGAGGAGGAGGAGGAGGAGGAGGAGGAGGAGGAGGAGGAGGAGGAGGAGGAGGAGGGAGGAGGAGGAGGAGGGTCTCGCACAAGGCAAAGGAAGAGGAACAGGAGGAGGAGGAGGAGGAGGAGGAGGAGGAGGAGGAGGAGGGGAAGGGGGAGGACGCGAAGAGGAGGATCGCCTCGCATGCTCTTCCCCTTCCCCCTTCCACCCAACTCTTCCCCATCCGCCTCCGGAAGCCTCCAGAAGCCTTCTGGAAGCGTTCCATAAGCCTTCGAAAGCCACCGAGCACCAGCTACACCCTCTCAACATCCTCGAGCATCGCCTTCCTCCCCTTGCTCCTGACTTGCAGAGCCTCGTCGGGTCTCCGATGCAGCCGCCGCTGAACCGCAGCCGCTTCGGCTCCTCTGGTTGTCTGTCCACCCGGCTGGGCGCGGCTGGAAGGCGCTTTTGCTAGCGTCGGGGGCGGAGGACCTCGATGGAGAGCGGGGGGGGGGAAGCGTGACGATGGGGAGAGGACAAGCAGAGGATCCACGGGCCGGTAGGAGGTCGAGGATGAAGGAGGAGGAGCTGGTGGAACGGGGGGCGGATGTCGGGAGGGCTGCATCGGAGGAGGAGGAGGAGGAGGAGGAGGAGGAGGAGGAGGAGGAGGAGGAGGACGACGGTCGGGAGGGTTATGCATCGGAGGTCGCAGGCTTAGCACGAGGGGGCCAGGCGCGTGGCCAGGTCGCAGAAAGTGCCAGTCGGGCTCCGTCGTGGAAAGGCGTTGGTATGGAAAGGGTCAGTTCGCGCACATCGTCGTCACGGAAGGGGTCTCTCTCGGCATCGATCTAGTCATCCTTTGCCGTGACGTTTTCCGCGGTTCTCCGTTCAAACTTTCCAATCGGATTTCTGAAAGTACGGTTGGGCCGTTGTTAGTTGAGGCGGTGTGCAACAACAAGATGAAGCGTCAAGTTTTGAACCCATAGTTTTTAACAATCATTTCATAATTCCAATTTGTGGTTAGCAGGGCGTACTGCTGTCTGCCTGCGCAGTTATTGAACGAGAGTGATGTCATGACAAGATTGGCGAATGATGCGTTCCAGGAGATCCGAACTATGTAGCGTCCCGCGTTTCTGTAGCCCGTGCAAACATTAGGAAGTTTTAGGAGTCATGGCATCTTTGGAGCGTGTCATTATCATGACCTCTTTCCTCTTGCCACTCTGAAATTACATGCTGCTATACGAGCAGGTCGAACCACCAGCCATTTCGCAATCCACATTGGCCAATTTTGCAGACGCCCCAGGTCACGGTCGCGATCGTACGTAGGGGGGGAATTTTGCCCCCCCCCCCCCCCCCCTCCTCACCTGCATGCTTGTGCTCGAGCACATACTATGGCGATCGCAGCGCACCTCCGCCCTGACGTGCCCGACCCCACCCAAGTGGTGCCGCCACCAGCCATCCCCTCCCGGATAACGACCGCATTTGGAAATAATACGAAACAATCTCCAAGTCGTTCATTCCAATTCCAGGGGGCTTCTCTGGAGGGCACCAGCCAGGTTTGGTGCAGGCTCCTTTGAATCCCGTGCAGGGGCATCAGGCGATAAAGCTTCAGCAATGAAATGAAGAACGAGTTGGCTTTGACGATGCCAGAGAAATCCGGGGGGAAGTTCGATGGAGCAGACGAATTCTGCAACGAAATCCGAATTTGATTTCGTTGTGAGTTTCGATCGAACTTGTTTTGAATTTCTGCTCGGAGTCGACCCCTTGGGGAAGTCTTTCCTCCAGAGGCACGCTAAAACATCCACTTGGTTGCCAATGGTTGCCACTCCTTCTTTTACCCCAGTACTGTTCAGCCGCTTACGTACGTGTGCAGCTCACGCGTCCCAGCTGAGCAGGTCAACCGAGCTTGTTCAGCGATGTGCGTCCTCGGGAGCTTGCCAGGAGTCGGCAACACGAGGCGCCTGGACGAGGCTCTGGGGCTCCTGTAAAAGGCGATGCTCCGAGCAGGACTCCTCGACCGCCTCGCGTGCCCTGTGAGGCCGCGACGACCGAAGAGCACCGCCGCAGGCCCCCAGGGGGAGTCGGGCGGTGCACAGGTACAGCAGCGCGTCCAGCCGCCACGAAGCAAGCGGCCACGAAGCAAGCACATGTGGAGGGAGAGTTCGGTGGCAAATCATGGGAGCCTTCTATGTCGTCCTCTTGACTCCGTCTTTCGAGTCGGTTAGCGTCGATTGGCGTCTGGGAGTCGATGAGGTAGCGCCGATTTAGCGCAGGTTCGCGTCGAGCAGTGTCGATTAGCGTCGATTTAGGGTCGATTAGCGTCGATTCGCAAGAGCCGACAAGAGGGTATAAGAGGCTCCCACGAGTTGCCACCAGAGGAGATGGACCCTGAGATGTCTCGCCGCTTTCGGGCTCCGAAGGCCCTCCTCAGGCTCCAGGGCCGTCGGACTGAGACTCGGGGTGCGGAACTGCAAGGGGCCCTGCACCTCCTTGGAAGAGCACGCCGCGTTGGAGGTCGTGTCGAAGAGTCGTCCGGGGGACCCCCCCCTGCAGGGTGCTTCGCTTCTCGGCACGGGCACGTCTCCGACGGCCCCCGGAGGGCCCCGACGAGCGGCCCCCGTGGAGGCCAGAGGCTGCGAAGCAACGAAGGCGACGGCGAGGAACAGGTTTACGAGAGCCACTGAAGCTGCACAAGTCGGCCGGGGCAGTGCGGGTCCGGGGCCCGTGTCCCTCCGGGGTCCCGTCTGCCTGGCTCGAGCAGGGGCTCGACCACAGAAGGGATTTTTACCCCCCCCCCCCACACTGGTGTTCTGTTCCGTCGAGTCTGCCGCAAAGAGGCGTGGAGTGCTCCGCAGACCTGATGCGCAGTCGATGCCTCTTGCGCAGACCCGACGGGAAACCAGGCTTGGGTCACATCGGTTCAGCAGTCCATCGCCTGCTCAGCTCGTGCCAGGGCCGCCCCTCGCGCCCGAGCGCGCGTTTGCGGAGATGCCCCGCGCGCCTGGCGCGCCAGCCGAGGCTCGCCGCCCGGATGGCCGCGCAGGACGCGACCAGCCCGCCGACCAGCGGCGCGGACCTCATCTCCTGGCTCCGCGCCCCCGCTGCGGGCCATACACTCTGGGCGATGCGTAAGAAAATCCAAGTTTTCGGCCAGAGTCTCGATTATTCCTAATGTTTCCATGTAGATCCTAAGATTTGTGTAGACATTCTGGTTTTTATTCAAATTCTGAGACTATGAATTTCTTAACCCATGATTTCGAAAGCATTTCGCAGGGTGTACTCATGACTGTCCATATCCAGGGCGTCGTGGATTCTCTCGGCGGGGGCGCCGCAGGGCCGGGGCGCACTGGATATGGATAAACCCCGTCCTCTGGGGGCCGGATTTGTATCCATACCCAGGGCGCCTCGCGGGCTTCTGGGGAAGGGAGCCCCGAAACTCCAAGCTGCAGTGGATATGGACACACGTCTTGCCCGCACCCGCGGCACCTGCGGGCATCAGGTTTTCGAGGTCGGGGTTCCAGGTCTTCGGGCGCTCTCGTGATGTTTCGGCGGTCTTCAAGCCTTGGGGTGCTCCCCGACAGCTGCGCCTCGCCGAGAGATCGTCCGCTGGGGTGTCCAGATCGTCCCGAACGGCCGCCGGAGAGCCAGGCTGGGTCAGGGATATATAGGGATATAGGCTTAGAGGGATAGGGACCATAGACTGGGACAGGGATATCGGCTTTTGGGGGGGAGACGCATTGGCCCCGAATCGCCCACTCATCGGCGCTAGGGTCCTGACGGCACTGCCCCGCCCAATGCCGCGCTGATTCGCCGTCGGGGCCCATCGCCGATTTGTCGACGATGTACCGCCATTCGAGCGCGATGCTTCCTCTGCTGAGCTGGTCCCCTCCCTGACGTGGACTCTGCGGGCGGCCGTTGCCCAAGTTTTTGGAGGGCCTCCAGGTGCTATCGCGGCAGCGCAGACCGCGACGAGGTCGATCTTTCTCCCGTTCTCGGGCTCCAGCAGGCTGTCTCTGGAACAAGACAATGGCATATAAGCACCCCACGCTTACGTTCCGTACACATTTTTGGTATTTATTTCATGTGTATGTACATATATGTGTACACATATATAGCTTGCCTCTGTAGGGGTCCTAGCGGATTCATACGGTTAGGTGAGGTTCGTCGCCGATTTCGGTGGCCGGCCTGGGTGCCGAGGTGCCCGGGTGTGCCCAGGTGCCCGGGTGTCCAGGGAAGCCCGGAGGTGCCCGGGGGTTGCCCGGAGGTGCCTGGGGGTGCCAGGATGTCTTGTAGGCCTATAGCCCTACAGCCCCATAGCCTCATATCCTAATGGCCTTACAGCCTTATAGCCCTAGATGCCTAGAGCCCTGTAGTCCTATAGCCCTGTAGCCTTAATAGCCCTATAGCCTTGTAGCCCTACAGCCCTACAGCCCTATAACCCTATAGCCCTATAGCCTTCTAGCCTCATTGCCCTATAGCCTTGTAGCTCTATAGCCATACAGCCGCCCTATAGCCCTACAGCCCTATAGCCCTATAGTCCTATAGCCCAAAAGCCTTATAGCCCTATAGCCCTATAGCCCTACAGCCCTATAGCGCCTGGCCTGGAGAAGGGGTCGATACATGCCCTGTGGCCCACGGGCCCACTTCCCGAAGCAATGCTTCTCCCCCGCCTCCGCACCGTCCTTATGCTCCCCCCACCTCTCATGCTCCCCCCACCTCCTCGCACTCCTCAGCCTCCTCCCCCCCGCTCCCATACCTCCTCGCCCTCCTCGCCCTCCTCCTGCTCTCCTCGCCCCCCGAGCCGCGGCGTCCTCGATACCCTCCAGCTCCGACGGCTCTCGGAGGTTCCAGTTTTTCGGGTGTTGCCAAGAGGTGGCCCCAGCCCGAGGTGACCCCAGCTGTCCCAGGGAGGCGCAGGCGGCTCCCGGCGCAGGGCTGGACCTGAACGGGATGTCGTGGGCCTTTTTCGTTTCGACTTCGCTTTGCGGCAGAGGTGGCTTGAAGACAAAACGCAGGAACACGAAAGCAGGACGAAAACGAAAAACACCGGTTAGGTTCAGCCCTGTCCCGGCGCACCCCTCGCGAGGCCCAGGGGGCTCCAGAGGCCCTAGAGTGGCGCGAGCAGCTGGGAGCACCGACCGTGGACCAGGACCAGCTCCAGCAGCACCCTGGACTCTGTAGCCTCCCGGGTGCTCGCCCTCTTCCTGCCGCCGTCTTTTCGGGGGCGGAAAAGAGGGGGGTGATGACTAGGGGGGGTTGGATATCATGGCGGGGGCCATGATATTTCCTCAGATTTCTTGGCGCCTCTTCTTATTCCATTACGTCCCTGGCCCCCCCGCTGGGCCGCGTACATGCCGCCGGCCATGATTTGCACCCCCCCCTCTTGGACACCCCCCTCTTGGCCGCTCCCGATCTTTATGAGGGGGGCGGATGAGGCCTCCAGGGCGACGGGCGGTTATTGCTGCGGGTCGGCCCGCCCGCGCGCGCCACTCTTCCCTGCATGGATGGGAAAGTCGTCGTCGCCTGTGGAAGTCTTCTGTGGACGAATTCGTGCGTTTTCGACGCGGCGGTGGTCGTGGCGAGGCCCGACAGGAAATCTGGATTTCACGCAAGTCGTAACTCGCTTGCATGCTTTTTTGGCACAGTGCCGTCTGAAAGGGCGGCGGGGAAATGCCACGCAACTAAAATTGCCAGGGTCCCCCGGAGGATTCCAGAGAGGCCCCAAAGGCCCCAAATCAGGGGCAACGTTAGGGGGGAGAAGGGGATAGGCTCAAGGCGGAACGCATCGACCATTCCTCGCCGATAGGGGCCCGATAGCCCACCCCGCCCCAGAACGTGGGGGTCCGCCGTCGGGGACCGCCGATCTGCCGTCGATGCCTCGCCCATTCGAACTCGATGCTACCCCCCTGGGCTGGCCCACCCCCGTCGTGGCCGCTCACCAGAACAGGCAGCGCATCGCACCGGCACCCTGCTCCGTCTCGCCTCCGATCGCCTCGAGACCCCGATGCCCTCGTTGGCGGCGCGCAGGGGAGGGGGGTGCGAGGGTGGTGGGCTTCTAAGAAGACCGGGGGCTTCTTAGGAAACAAGGGTTTTGTTGAAAGCGCCTGGGTGTGGTGTTTCTGAGAAGCTTCTTGGAAACCGGGCGGGCTCCCAAAAAGCCTCCTGCCTGCTCAGGCGCCCCCCCCCCAGGCTTCCCCCTGCGCGCGCCGCCAACTCTGCGGGGACAGCGAGCGCCCACAACCACATCGAGGACTCATCCTGGGGGGTGTCTTGACGATTCCAGGAATCGTCGGACCACCGACACTGGCACTCGTACTTGCAGCCTCGTATCGGTTGCAGCCTCGTGCTAAGAATCCCAAGAGTCGTCTTGCAGCCTCGCACTGGTTGTGGTCGATGTGGCGTCCCACGACGGCCACAACGACCACCACCACAGCCAGAGTGCCGATGCCGAGGTTGGCGGGCTCTCCCCCGAGGGTCCGTCCCGAAACATCCACGCCGTTGTGGCTGTGGTTCTCTGCTGTGCCCAGAAGCTCCGGCCGCGGCGAGGCTCTTCTCCAGGCGCCGGGCGTGGCTGGAGCTGGCCGATGGCACCACCTTCGAGGGCTTCTCCTTCGGCCACGAGGGCTCTACGGCGGGCGAGGCCGGCCGGCGCGCGCGCGCGCACGAGCGCCGAGCCAGGGTCGGGGGAGGTCGAGGAGGAGGATTCGTAGAGGCGGAGGATCGAGGAGCTCGACACCATCGGCCCCTCTCGCCACAGACCATTTCTTGGTGACGGCTACGCTTCATTCGGGCACTGAATCTCAGGCTGAAGCGGATGAGCGTTGGAAGCTCTTGGGAGGGGCATTGTGAAGAATCATTTCAGCCGAGGCTTTCAAAGGATGTGTGGAAGCATCTGTGTCTGACGGCACCCTGGTGC